TGAGAGATTAAACAGAATTTTAGCTCACTCAGGTTTGTCCTAATTTTATTAGATTTTCACCATTTCTAATTGCATAAACATATGCAGCCAAGTATACAGATGGGAACTGGGATGATGTACAAGGACACTCGGGCTCTAGAGTCAGCTAATTGGTGGACTAAGTAATAGGGCACTTGGAAAGATTGGTATTTTTTCCAGAACATTTCAGGGTAAAATCCTGTCCCCATTTAAACTGAGGCAATCAAGATAGAAAAGATTTTAGCCATAGATTTTGTTGAAACTGGAGAAAGACGAGAGGAACTATCTGATGCAGAAAATATCCAGGATGAAGGTTGTTATTCTGGGCAAGATTCACTATTTGTTTGTCTTGGAAATAGGAAGAAGATAGAATGCCTCAAAAGCATAGAACTGGCCTGATCAATATGGTAACATCAGAAGGTTTTTGATCAGGGCTAAGCAAAAGACAAACAATGGTTAACAATTTGAGATATTACCAGGGCAAATGAGAAGTCATTTTGTGCTAACATTGTTATTGTTAGCAAATTCCAAACTACAATGTTGTCAGCAATATTTTATACTTTGTTTTGGAAAATAAATCTGGTTTTGCTATGGATAGGAGATCTCTTGGGCCCCAAGTTAAAGCATACTATGGCTATTTCTGGTCAAATAGTACCAGCTGAGGTACTGGCATGGCTGTTTATGAGGGTACTTTCACATGAAATAAGATTGCTGTCTATATTTGTTAAGGGAATGCTGCTGTTGACTTATTTTCTGCAATCAAGACAGAAAGAAGGGTGGGAGGGAAAAGTCTACACTCAGGTTTTTGCCCTTGGATGTCCTTTATCTCTGATAAAGTACGTTTGCACCATGAAATTCATTCTTAATGAAGGGACATTCAGATGTCTTCACTTCCAGCAGACAGGACACAACTCTCAGACTGATTCATTTGGATAGGTTTTTAAAAATCTTCATAGATAACAGATAGAGACTTTTTCCCTCACTGGCCTGGACTGAACACTTGGTGGTTTAAGTAAAACTTTACTTTTTTTCCTATGAAAAGTAGAATAAACCAAACAAGTTGGTCACATATTTCGACCCATACTTCTCAGCAAAGGTTTGCAAAGTCCTCTAAAAAGTCAGGATTTTTAGTAAATAGATCATGAGATATTTTCTAGAAAACAAACAAACAAAACCCCAAAAGGGATTTAGCAATGTTGGGATGTAGTTTTCTGTTAATGACTTTATTTTCTTCTTCCTCCTATTTAGGCAGTAACATGCGAACTCTGACCACATCACTGGTGTGAAATTGCTGATTAACCTTTTGACTCTGACAATTGGGACTTCTCTCAACACCAACTGGTAATGCAAAAGACCATTAGTAGTTAATATTGGGACATCCCAGCTCCAGATGTCAAAAGGTTAATGAAAAATCAAGTATCTTGCTTTTACTGGGCAACTTGGAAACCTTCCCTCCCCAAACATTTCATTTTTTGTGATAAATAAGCCAGATTGCTTTAGCTGAGAAAGACGGGTGTTTTGCTAATGTGTACAGCTGTTAATTGAAAAAGATTTTGTTATGCTTGTTCTTCTGGACATAGATAAAAGAGATATTTGCTGGCGAACTTAGTTGGTCTTGAACACCCCTTTGTCCAAATACACTACTTAATAATAACGCTTTGTTCTTTCTGTAACAGCCATGGAGGGATTTTGAGTGGAATACTCATTTTCTTTAAGTCATATCTGCCAGTAATCATTCCTGGCTTAAGACCAGCTGCCATTTATGTGTTTTATGAAAATATAACACCAGTTTTACACTCAAAACTATTCTCTTTTTAGGTAAAAGCTTCAGCACAAGCTGGTTCCCCATATCTACCATAAATGCTATTTATCACAGATTTTGGTCTTTAAAACAGAAAGATAATGTTAAAATATTTTGATTACCCTTTCCTTACCGCTATCATTCACAAACCATCTTTTCTAATTATGGTATTAGGACATTTACATAACTGGGAAAAGGGTCCTTTAACTACATTTCTATTATGTTTGGCACTTCTGTGAAAGGATATTATATTCATGTGCATTAGAGATTGCTTATAAAAGATCAAGACAATAATAGCAGATCAGACGATAAAGGTTCCCTTTTCTCCTCCCAGACAGGCTGTCTCTGACAGAAGAATACAGTTCATCAAAAGTGTCTGCAGGTTGTCAAACTCAGTGAGATTTGGGGACACTCAGAGGCTGTCATGGCCAACAAGAAGATTTTCTGTAGGGTTCTGCCATCATTCACCCTCAGGAAATAATCACTCACTACATTCTGCGTGCTCTCATGATAGAGCTCTATTTGAGAGAAAAGAGCCATTTTATCAAAGGACAATATATCCCTTCTCTTGGTCCATGCAGCTTCCATTATCAGACCATAATAAATCATATTTATGTTCTCAGTTAATAAGACTGATTACAATGCAGGTTACAGGCATGGGAAAAGCAAAGCAGGTGAAAAGATGTTTTAATGAAAATATGATAAGCAAACAGCTTCTTGTGAACATTTCAGGCTGTTATTTGTAATGATCACAGGCAATTTTTGATACATCTTCTTTAGCAATGGTTTAAGCTGCATAAATTGGCTTGCCACTTTATACGTTGAAATAGGAAGAATCCCAGTGTCCTTCTTATGTTGTCTAGAATCATTATATACATTATAAGCATAAAATGATTTTAATGTATGTGCTTTGAAAAGAAGGGGAAAACAGAAAATCAGGGAAGACTGATTTTAATGCTGCTCAGAATGATTTTGAAATTTTCTACTCATCTTTGTTACTAACAGTGCATTTTCCATGAAATTTAGGAATGACATGTACTGCTTTCATCTCCTTAAAATTAATATACTGCGCTCTCTGTTTTTCTCAATTTCTTCAAAGTTCTTTTTAGAGCACTGTGCAAAGAAACAGAAAGAAATTCTCCACTCTATGTGTGAACATATCTGCTATTAATGCTGAGGGGAGTTAAGTGTCTGCTTCTACAGGAGAATACACGCCAGTGTTCTATACTGAAAGGTACCCTGTTAAAACAGTGTGAGAATGTTTAACTCTGGCACATGTGATGCATTCAATGGCAACTTCCATAGAACTTTTTTAAGTGATTAGGCTTTTTTTGTTAGGACAAACATTCTGATATGATTTCAGCATATAAATGTATGGAGGGAAGTGGCTGATGGACTGTCTTACTGTCATCTTGTGAAAAGTCTTATTTTGTTATTATGTTAAGCACCATACTTTCAAGATGAAGTTTGAAATTTAAGGAATAGTTTTGTCCTGCTGATACATAATTGTGACCAAGTCTCTGAAATTTTACAGCACTTGCAGAACGGTGGCGACAAAGAATTCTTAGTGTTGGGTGTCTGTGGGACCTATTCTGGTCTGATATTTCCCTAAAATCACTCTTCAGTAAATTTTAAAGCTTTATATTTGGCTTGGTCCTGGAGACTTACCACAAAATTACCTTAACACTTTCAGGACACTTCAAAAGAGCAGTGCCCACATAAGAAACAGCAAACTGCTCTTCAGAGGCAATATCCTGATATGACAACAGACGTAGATAATGTACTTCATGATGGAACTGCTTGATACAGAGAAAAACATGTTGTAACTGCCTTCACCATGAAAGGGGTTTAAAAATGCTGCCTGCCAACTCCACAAAAACCAGAGCTGCTATTTCGGTTAAAGGCCAGTGGATTGTATTTTTCACGTCAGTTTTCACTAACCTCAAACATCACTGTTATGACAGACTGTCATCCAACCAAACCAGCACTCTGGTGCCATTCAAGCAAGCAGGAAGAAAGCAAACACAAGGAAACTTAAAAGTCCAATTAGTAAGTGGGGGGTGCAATGTGAGTGAACCACTTTTGTGTAACAATACTGATTACTGAAAATGAAACACTTAAAAGAAAATAAACAAAAAGCAGTGCTTTCTGAGCCAGTGGTGTTTTCTTGGCTGGCAATTTCTCTTTGTTCTGTTTCATGACACCAGGCTCAATGGTTGAAGGGGTGTTCTGGGCCAGATGTCAATCACAATGTCTGACATAAACAAAAATAGCTAAAAAGGCATGCCAGCATCTTCCTTTTGTTTTCCCATTAGCTCCATTTTTCTTTTCATAGGCTGACAAAAAATTACTGCCTCCAAGTGAATCCAGTAATGTCACAATATATCTAATATCTAGGAGACCTTTTGTTTTAGCTTTACTGGGCTTAACCACAAAAGACACTTGACATTGACAAAGAATCTGTCAAACATACAATGATCAGTGCAATGAAACCTCTCATGACAGAAGGGCACTATTCTGCCTCCCCCTTGCCTCCAGCAGCAGCCTGTCTGAGCAAAATATGCTGGAGCACATGTCGCAGCTGAACCATTACAGAGCAGGCCAGAAGCTGAGATGTGTCTTGTTTAAATTGTCATAGCATATTAGTATAATTAAAACCGCCAAAAGAGTAGAAAAGATAGATGGAAATGTTACATTACTTGTTTCTAGAGATTAACCTCCAGCCAGAACTGAAATAAAGAGACACGTTTTGGATTTCTTAGAGCCCTGATAAGGAAGAAAACAAGCCTGAGAGTACATCTCTGGAAGTGTTAGACATGAAGTCATAGTTCCTATATTTACCCAAAAAAAGCAGAAATAGTGTTTCAGACAGACACTCTGTTTCCTCTGTGATTACAGCTCCCATTGTGGCTGTGCCCTGCAAAGGAGTTGTATCATCTCTCAGCTAACTCCTTTCCACTCTCCTTTGCTTTTGTGCCCACAAGCTCTTGACAACCCGTAGGGCTGCTGATGAGCTGGTGTCACCATTCTCCACCCCTCCCCATCTGTGTGCGTGGCTGGTGCTCCAGGTGCCCAGCCGTGAAGCAGCGCCCCATGTCCCGGCTGGTGGCTGCAGAGGCCATGCCTATCAGCTATGGTCAGGAAGTCATCCTGCACAGGTTTCATCCCCTGGCCATACTGGTAGACCAGCCCTGAGACTGCTATAGAATCAAGCTTCCTTGTGCACAAGAGAGCCAGACAGGGAGCAGGGAAGACTTAGATTGCTTCACCTAGGCTGTTTCTGCTTTGCATTGCAGAGGAAGATGTTTGAACAATGGCTTCAATTTAAAATCTGACCTTTCAAATGCCAAGCTCTATGCTTGTTTCTGTGTTGAGTGTATATATAAAAACATGTGGCTTTCTAAAACTGACCCTGAAAATTATATTCTCTTCATCGATGAGATGTTTCACTTACCATGCATCGTTACCTCTCATAACTACTCAGGACAAAATTATGATCCAAATTTATAATTATGCTCTGAGTTATATCTGGTGGTAAGAAACTGGTGTAAAACCTTCCGTGTATCTGTTCAAATGTACAGGTTGGAACCCAATTTATCCAGAAGCTGGGAAGGGCCTGAACTGGCTCTAGCAATTCCGAAACAAAGAAAAAGCAACACAACTTTCCTCTAACAAAACTGGTACATTCAGGGAGAGGATGCAGGAATCAGGTAGGTCTCATGTTCATTTCTTATGGTATTAATGAACTTCACAGCCTTGCCCCATTTGCTGATTTGCTTTAAGTAGAGAGATGTTAAATGTGAGCCTTAAATTTTAAGTTTTCCCATATTTCCTGTATTTCACAAATTTAAATCTCAGTTAATGACTTCTCCATATAGGGTCTCTCTTAAATTTCTGTCAGGGCCCGTAAATGTGCATAAGTAGTAAAAAATATGTTATCTGCATTTAGTGTTGGCTTTTGGAACCCTCACCGCCAAGTCACCTCACCACTGTATCTCACCTCACATACATTTCTGTGTAGTGCCAGGAGAAGAATAGAAAATAGCTATGAAGTAAAAGCAGATTCTGTTCCCATTAAAGGCAATGAAAACTATGCTTTTACTTCTACTTACTCATATAATAGTAGGGAAAAATGAAGTGGAAACAAGCACAACAAAACACCTCTGCCAGCTATCTACAAGCTCACCAAGGCTTCCACTAATGAGGCGCTCTGGCATTTTGAGAAAGACAGGTTCTTCCAGAAGCAGAAAAAATATGCCAAGTTCTTCCTTCAGCTTTGAAAGGCTAGTGAAAGAATAACAAATTGTATTTAAAAAACGGGATGGCAGTCAAACTTTTAATGCTGTCTGTGCTATTAAATACCTACAGATGCCCCTGTAGTTTCCTGTCAATTAAATGCTTTTACATATATGTTTGTCAGATTATTAAATATTGATTGTTATATGCCTCACCTAATTATCCATTGTATTTACAGGTTTATCTAAGGTTCATCATGACCATAACATTCTTGTGAAAGTTAATAATTTCAAATCACAACAACAGAGTAATTTCCAGGTCAGATTTTCTAGAAGACAACTCAATACCATGGACAATAACATAGTCTATTAAACAGAACAGTACGGTTTGTGGAAAAGATAATAGTCCAGATCATGAGAGAGCACCAGATTTCACATTATGATATCCAGATGTCCTTAGGAGCTTAATGCATACAGCATTGGTTCAAGACTAATCTGCATGGCAGAAAGGCAAGTTGTTCCAATTTTCTCCTCCATGGGGCTCTGTGGAGAAACTGAGAGGATAGGCTGGGATGGTTTGGCCATGCTTTAGCATGAATATTCACCACATTGCCAACTGCTCCTGCACACTGGGATGATATGCAGAAAAGAAAAGGTTTGGACAGCACTGTGCTCATGTCTTTCTGATAGGTGCCATCAGAGCTGGCTCTACACATTGGCCAAGCGGGCAACTATTCAGGGCAGCAAAGTGACTGTGGCTTTGTCCGTGCTTCCAGAGTGCTGGAGAAAGCAGGAGGGCATTGTGCTGCTAGCTTGGAGAGAGGAGTTTGCCTGAACAACAGGGGAAAGTCACACCTAGCAGTGTCCACAATCTCATCCAGTTGCAGAAAGCTGGCAAATCTGCCCCTGACCATCAGCTTACCACCTCAGCAGCCCTTTCCCTGCACACTTGCCTTCACACAGACAGAACAGGCCTCCCTATCCTGGCCCCAGCCTTAACCATTGGAAACATCAATGTTCCCTTTTGCTTACAGTGCTGTAAAGACCTGAGTTACAGCAGCCTGTCACAACTGTCAGGGTTCTGTGACAACCTGATTGTATTCTTCTAAGCAATGTGTGTTGATTCACTGGAGAGAGATAGAGGGTGGATTTTGCGAAACTGAGGCCTCATTTACTCAAAGCTCCTGGAGTGAGTGTCTCCACAACAGGAAGGCAGCTTCCCTGATGTTTCCAGGGTGCACCTTTGGAAGTTCCTCAAATGTCCACTGTAAAACAATGCATTGCATCAGTTCCTTGAACCAAGGACTAGGTCAAGTCCACAGTATAGTGGTGTTGAGTGAGAGATGAAATTCTCCCTCCTGTCAGCCTGGGGGAATTACAGCACTTTACAGGGCAGCCCAGTATCCTGCTGTGCCCAGAGGGGCCACAGATATCCAGGAGTTTCTGGTAGGTCTATACATGTCTATAAACATGGAACAGTATTTTCTCTGTTACATTCCTGCTGGAGAGTACTTTACTGGTACAGGTAGACGGGCTGGATAACGATACAAGGATCTGCCAGGACTCTGGACCAAGCGTGTCTGAGTTCAAGAAGTATTCAGACAACACTCTCAGGCCCATAGTGTGATTCTTGGGGTGTCCTGTGTAGAAAGAAGTTGGACATGATGACACTGTCCAGAAGCTGGACATGATGATCCTCGTGGTCTGTTCGAACTCAGCATATTCTAGGATTCTGTGATTTGCTTTTCAATTTCAGCATTGTCAGGCTGGGAAGTGAAAAAGAGCTCCACAAACAGAACAAGTGTCTGATGTGACACTGCAATGTAAAAAAAAAAAAAAAAAGAAAAAAGGCTCAAGGCTACTTTTTCTCCATGGAAATCTGTACAAAAATTGTCAGTTTGGGACGTCATGAGTTTCTCTCTGGAGTCAAAAATTCAGTGTAAGTGCACAAAAGAGTGTGAGGAAAGAACATTTTGGCTCTTTTAATGCTATGCACAAAACCTCACAGGGTTTCAGCGAGGATTTTAGCATCTCTTGCAGTCTTCAAATGTTGTGCTGTGCAAGGATGTGCTTATACATAATTTTGTAATTGAAATGGCATGTTTACTGTTCTATTTCATGCTTGATTGTGTTTTTTAAACACCTTTACTCATGCTGTTAGAAGTGGGATTATAATTAAAATGTCCTGTTGAACACCTTGTTCAGTTCAATGAAGGCATAATAGAAGTATAAATACTTGTTCTCGTTGATTCTGTGATGTCAGCAAAACAAACACAGTAAATCACAGATAATCATAGAATATTTTGAGTTGGAAGGGACCCACAAGGATCTTCGAGTCCTGCTCTTTGAATGTCTCATACAGGGATCAAACCCACAACCTTGGTGTCATTAGCACCATGCTCTAACCAGCTGAGCTGATCTCAAGGTCAAATGTCATAAAACAGATCTCTTTTTTGCCAAAGCATCTGTGGGATCCGTGGGAAGAGGAAACAGAATCTGTGACTGGGCAAAGAGGGGACCTCTCCTTTGGTAAAAGGAAATATTTTGAGATATTATCTGTGATATAAATGTGTTAACTAAGGCATGGAATGATTGATTTATTGACTGATTGATTGATTGGTTGATTGATTTAGCCAGTTATGAGAAAAAAATAAGAGTGGAATTTGTTCCTTTACTCACAGTCCCTTGGTCTAAAGACTAGGGGTACTTTCTCCTACACTAGCCATTAAGATTAAGGAATGACAAGTCTGCTTGTGAAGTGTTAAGGAGTAACTTATATTTCTTATTATTCCCATTTCCTTAAAACGTGTACAGATACCCAGACTTTGTTTCTTTATGGTGGAGTGGAATCACAACATGAAGTCCAAATGTTTCTAAGTCACTGTCCAGTGGTTTCAGAACTTTTGCACAGCAATAGTAGTTTCATTTTCTTCATGTTTTCTCTTGTAGTCTAAGTTACCACTGATGATAAAACGTCAAACCATTCTGGCAGGCACTTGTTCAGTCTTAAGGAGCTTTAAATTACTTCACAGCTTGAGATTCCAGGTAAGTAGAGATGTTCCAAGATTTAGCCTAATTGACGCTTCTTGGGCAATTTACTCAGATACCTTGGCTCAGTTTCCTCCTCTGAAAATTGTGGAGAAGAATGTCTGTGTTTCTTGTGCTCTTTGATGTAATAGTATTTTTAATATACTAAATACTAGGCTCTACATTGCGTAAAACCCATGAGATTTTAGGTTTGTGTCCTTTCACTGGCTGAAAGAGGACTCTCAAAACCAGTCCCAGGATGTGTAATACATCTGTGCCAGAGCAAGACTTGCCAGTCAATAGCTGCCTTTCAAGGAAAGCCCACATGATCTTTATGAAGCAGGCAAATAAGCGGACCCGAAGGGTGTGGAAATTGCCTTCTGTGCCCAGTTTCAGTTCCAACTGCTTCAAAATCAGCAGAAGTTAGGTAGGCAGATGGTTCACAGGATTTGGTCTTTTGAATGAAAGCAGTGAGGAAGTGGCAAAGTTAGGAGGGTTTTTTCCCTGGGATAAGAGAGGCACATGGGTATATAGGGCTGTCCAGCCCAGACCAGAAAAAGATTCAGCAGCAGGAAGCTACAAAACATGCATGACAAACTGGACAAGAATGTTCTCAAGTGGGATTGCAACAAAACTTAGTGTATTTCTTTGACTGTCTCATTACTTGTACCGGTGCAGCTCTACACACCCACACGCGCTGCATTTATTTCAGTGTGTCATCATATAAATACCTGCAGGTGCGACACTGAAGAGATACCCATGCTGAGGCATGAATATGGAGTTCCACATCTGCATGTACTGCCTGGTTCACACAATGAACTAGTGCAGTCAGTGAGTTCTCTTTCCACCTCCCACATGCACTTTAGAACTAAAACCAAAGAAAATTCCATCCTGGTAACTCCATTTAGTGGGATGTCATGGCATAGAACTAAAATGTGTGATGGGGAAGGTGTATGAAACAGTCATGATGACTTCCCTTTTTTGCACAAGTATATAAAAAATTAGGAAGAAACTAATTTCAGATAAAAATGGCTACATCAGTTTAATGTATGGTAATAAATCCACAAAGTTGGAATTTAATGTGTCTTTTGAGGCACCTAAAGCTTCAGTTGGCCTTCAGTACAGTGACTGGTTTCTCTCTTCTGGCACACAGAAAGATGGTTCCTTGTCTATAATACTGTCAGATACTCCATAACACATGGGATGCAAATCGTGGCTGCTGCAGAAACCATGGATTTGCGTTCACCAACTTGCTTACACATTAAAAAGTCTCAGTCACAGCATCGCACTCATGCAGCTGGTTTCATTAAACAATAATCTGATGCTAACTACTTAACTACAAATGCCCTCCTCCCAGTGTCAAAAATGTAAAACAGCTAAAGGATATAAATTGGGGGCAACATTTTGCATGTAATTGCTGCCTGCACAGAATCAAGGTTGTCAAAGTTTCTTACTTTTTATGAGACCTTTCCTGATAAATTTCGTTTCCCAAAGAGAAAAATAATCGTACCAAAGTTCCTTTGAACATTTCATCAGCCTTTCATAGTGTTAGCTGTGAAAGTAACGGTGTGACATTCCTAATATGGATGTATAGGAACTGTGTTCTAGGGTCCATGCTGCTTTCTTTGTGGAAACTATCTCAGATGCTTTGGGATTATTTAGCAGTAACTTCTTTTTACACCATGATTTCACAGGGATTTTCTCTGTTATCTTCTCTTCAGCATATTCCTTTGAAGATCTAGGGAGAAAATGTGGCACTTGAGCATTCAGCGAAACCTGGTTTGCATCTCCATGTAGCTAGAGAATCAGTTCTCCTGTGACATAAAATGTGGAGGAACCATAGTGCCCAAAGTTCAGCAAAAATTTTAGGTAGTGTTGTCCAGGCAAAGGAATAATGAGAATATGGTCAATGAAGATTTCGTAGGAAGCAAAGGAGAAAAGAAAGCACAAATTTTTATTTCTGATCTGAATGTCTCTGCTTTGCCCAGAGGGACCACAGCTGCCATCCATGGCTCACAATAGCAAATGTACTCTGGGCAGTGACGCAGAGAAAGGGACCAGAAGCGGCTGGAGCTGTGGAAGAAATAACGCTGCACTAACGAAGAGTTTCACCCAGGCAAATTTACCTCCTTTGGAATTAGCCTGGGTATCTCTCCATGACACATTTGTTTTAGAATCACAGCATGCTGCAATTCTTAGGCTCTGGCAGGCTCCTAGGTAGGAACTGTGTCCAAGAGCCTTTATTTCATCCGGTCCAATTGGGAAGAGCGTGGCAGTTTCTTTTGGTTGAGACTTTGCTATAACGATCTGAGCTTTAGTCACTGTGAGACTGGCCCTCTGCAAAGCATTCAGTTGGTGTTACAACCAGAGACAACTGAGCTCCAAAAGTGAGTGCAGACCGTGTCTACTTATTAAGTAAAGGGACATGTGGAGAGCCTATTACTCAGTAATTGGTGCTAGCTGCCAGTTAGCATTCAGCAGGACTTCCAGCATTTGTATAGACTTTACAGCCCAGAATGGCCTGGGATTGTTCTTGCCTTATTTGCTGCCACTGTAATCAGCTGATGGCTCTCTGCTTTGCACAGCTACCAAAACCAGCTTGATCGGGCTGAAAGGCACCTGGAAGTACAGGATGTCCCCAAGGAATTCAGCCAGAGGGACATGCAAGTCTGAGAGACTTTGTGGCTAAGGCTGTACTCCAGTTTTATGGGCTTGCAGGTTTCTTCTCCTGCCATGGAAGAGGAAAATGATGAGTGCTAGATGATATAAATGCCTGCCTGATTGTGTAAAACCTTAAATAGGTCTTTAAAGATGTGACCCTCAAAGGCCATGTGACTCTTTAGATGAGACAAACAGAACTTTGCTACGGAGTGTGGAGAGACAGTGTGGAAAGTCTTTACAGAAAAGACTGCATAGACATTTAGACAAAAATGCAGCTCTGTGGGGTACATGCCACTTAGAGCTTTGACCTGGGAAAACCATTTATTCTCCAGGTCCCAGGTGCTTCTGTTACTCCCAAGGAGGCAGCTCGGTGGGGTTTTGGACAGAAGCACATAGCCCCCCCACCCCCCCGGCAGCCACTCCACTGCCCAGGAGCAGGGTGGGTTCCATGTGTGCAGACGGCAGAAAGCAGCTCTTCTCACATGGCTGTTCCCTGCAACATTATATATATATATTTTATTTACAGCATAGGCAGCATTATCCCCAGAGGCTGACGAGGCGGTTAAATGCATGCAGATAAGCTGCTCTCCCCAAGCAAGCGGGCTCTGCCAGCACCTGAGAGAAGTTAAAACCTGTCTGCGCTGCAGGTGAGAAAGCAAATAACACAGGGTGCGGCCGCGGGAGCGACGCCCGTCAGTGAGGCGGGCGCAGCCACGTCCCCTGCCCCCGTGGCGGCGGCCCAAGGCCCCAAGGCCCGGGCAGAGCCCCCCAAGCCCCGCGGGCCCTCACGGCCCATGGCGGCTCCCGCCTGGCCCCGCCGGGCCCGGTCCCGGCCCCGCGCCAGGCGCCGTTCGCCGCAGCGCCCGCCAGGTGGCGCCCTTGATCGCCGAGTGGCGGGAGGGCGGGCGGGCCCGAGAAACGCACCCTGCCAGCCCCCAACCCCCGCCCTGTAATTTCGGAAGCATTATAACTAAAGTGTTTTCAGCTTATTATTATGCATGAGTAAAAATTCCATGAATGTGTAACATTTTCGCCTGTATTTCCCTCTTTTATAACATCATTTAAATTCGTCATTAATAATTTAGCAGCGTTCTGGATTTTAATCACTTTTCTCATCCCGGCGGTCTCTATCCGAGGCAGCGCTCTGCTCCTCACCTGAAGGTGACAGGGAGGCAGGGCCGGACCAGGGACACCCGCCCCAGCGCCCTGCCCTGCTGCAGGGTATTTCTTTCACCAGTTAAAAGTCCAAAGCTTACCAAACCCAAGGCTTGAGTAGGTTACCATTGGTAAAAATTAATTTTTTCTTTGTTTGTGGTTTTTGCTGCCTTTTTTTTTTTTTGCATCTGAGTTTAATTATGGTGGTATTTGTTTGATAGCTTGTTACTGTAAATAAAAGAGATAAAAGCAGCCCTTCACTCGAGCAGCTCCAGAGCTGTGAAATATGTACCTAATTAAAACTATTGGTGTAAGAGGCTAATAAAGTACATGTGCCTACTAGACGTCTTATTCTAATGAATCTCAGCTAAGTTGCTCTGAGTGATGTATTTCAGTGTTGGTAGTAAGGGCTGAATAATTATGGAATTTATCATGAGGTGCTCATGAAGGACCACGAGGGGCTGGGAGGGAGAGGGGAGGGGAGGGAAGGGCCCCCAGCCATGGCCGGGTGTGGGCCCTGCCCTTTTTGGTGCAGGAGGAGCAGAGCCCAGGCTCCCCCCAGGCACCAGGGCTGCCAGGGCACAGCCTGCCACCTCCAGGGCAGGCAGGGACCCCTGGGCCAGGCCCATGGGCTGCAGACGTGCAGGCCTGGGGCAGCCTGGAGGGTCTGCATGAGGTGTATGTGTGCAGGTGAGAGCGCTCCCATTGCCCCCACAGAGAGCCTGGGGCCAGGGTGCTCCTCCCCACCCAGCTCCTCAACCCCTGATTTGCCCCTTGTTTTTGCCTGGCACGGGTGAGGAGCGGGCCACAGCATGTGCTCCTCAGGCTCCCAAACCCAGTGCAGATGGGTTGTCTAAAGCATTTCAGATGGAGTTTTGGTCTTGCGCCAGCAGCTAATCAAAGTCTTAATTCTGGAGAATAAAAAGGCTGGGCTTTCCAAGCTTCCTCCAGCTGGTTTCTGCCAGGGATGTGGACAGCCAGCACTCCTGAAAACCCCTTGTGCCATGGGTGCTTCCAGCACCAGGGTCGGGCTTGGGGCTAGGGTATGGGTTGGTTACCTGGTGCAGGTGAAGCGGCCAGCTTTATATGGCCTGTGGACAGACACCCTCAAATCCGTCTGGGTCTGACCTGTAGTGAAGTCAGGCAGGTGAAAAAGTGTGCATTGAGAACCCCTGCCTGAGACATGAGCTTTGCCCTTTGGA